TTTGATTTTGTCAATTTCTAAGTATAGTAGGGTCAGTTGGCCTACATCCGTGGGAAAAGAGCAGCATGACGCAACTCAATCCTCTAGAAATTTGGAGAAAGCATGCTGTACTGCTTGGCATTCGCGCCGGAAGCTACAATACGAACATTTCAAAGTGTTTCTGTGTCAATCTGAGGACAGTGCAGAGGATTTGGAAAGAGTTGGAAGAGTCTAATGATAATTACGAAGGTACGACGGCACGGAAAACTCACTCTGATCATTCTGATAAGAAAAGAACTTCCAAATTTATTGGCGATAGCCCCAGACTCAACACGGAGGCCTACATCAAGTGCCTGGAGAAGGTAGTGCTGCCCTGGGTCAAGAGTGTGGCTGCTAGATGACCCTATGTCTTCTAACAAGTCTCTGCACCATGCCACACAAGTTCCATCCTCAGTGGGTGCCTTATACTTTCGGCCTTATGCCACACCTAAGCTACGCCTAGAAAAATCACTTAATAGCAACAATTGTCAGTGAATTGGATCTTCCCTAAATACCCCATTATCCACTATGTTAGCCTTGTGCCAAACAGCTCCGCAAATAATTAAAGAAAGGCAGTCTAGTCTCGCAAGATATTGATAATGAGTTTTATTCTTATAAGTTGCACTTATATTATAGCCTTGTACCAGACGTACTGTTTTCCTTGTTAAATATCTACTACGGTCGTTTCTGTTCGGGAACTTTTAAATATTTATAGTCTTGGAATTGTCAACCAAAGAAAAAAATAAAAAAGTAGAAAGACAAAAAGTTTCGTTTACTTGAATTACATCAAACCTTTGTGCTGTTGGTCTTACTCGATAACCATTGGGTCAAACCTGTAACCGTTCTGCATTATTAATCTATAACGAACTCTTTTGTCAAGGAGGAAGAATTAATCCCCTTAGGAAACAATAACACTGACAAAGACTTTTAATGGTTTCTATACTCAAATGGCTTATAAACTAGGGCCTTTCATTTATCCAGACAGTTAAATTATCGCCTTGGAAGGATATAATGGTAGAGCTTGGCACCGTCGTTATCATCTGATAAGAATGGACACACGTTTTGGCTTTTAACACCATTCTATTCTCATGCGGTTTAGCATAAAAATGTCATTGGAATTTAGTGAGTTTTTTTTTTTTTTTCGTTTTTCTTTTAACTTAGATCTATCGGAAGTAGGGAAATGACGTCGGAAGAATGTAATGAAGGTTTTTTTTTATTTACGGAAGAATGTATAATATCAGGATTATTTTGTCAATTTATTGAACCTTAATTCTTACCTTATAAAGAAACAACTAAGTGTGTGTATGTATGTGTAGTTTTTTTTTATATGCGTAGGCGTGTGATTGTATGTGTGTTTATGTGCCTCAGTGTGTTTTTGTGGGTGAGGAGGGATACACAATTATACCCATCACAAGATCGTTTGGTGTGTTAATGTTTTTTTTTATATTTTTTATATCCCGTTCACTTTTTAAAAACGGGTTTACTGTTTACAAATCTCTAAAATTCCCTTAAAATTGAAAATTATGACTTTGGTAAAAAATAAATTTGTCATAAGTTTGGTGCTCACTTGGTGGCATTCACAAAAGAAAATATCAGCTCGAAAGCGACACGAGTTCAATCCCATCTGTGTTTGTTTTTAATTCTTAAAATATTCGAAAAAAAATTTCAAATTTCAGTCAGTTATATATATAAAATAGAGGATGTATGTGCATCTGTATGTCTGTCTTTCTGTATGATATCTTTTCACTCGAGATCCATCCAACCGATTTTGACCAAACTTGGCACATACATTGTTCAATGTAAGAGAAATCGATAATTGAAAAAAATCAATAATCGATAATGCTGATTAAATATCAATAAATCCAACTTTTTTCCTCTGATTTCGTTAAAACTCGGTATGTAGGTTATTTACATCATGACGAGCTGAACGATACCTCATTTTTATTTCTATGCCACTGCGTTTAGCGAAAGACCGCGAAAAACGAAAGATCTATTTCAGCACAAATCGATTTCAACACAAATGTTAAACTAAAACCTCCCTCAATTTTCAAACAATCTAATATGAACTTCACTCAGTTGTAGCCAACAATAAGTTGATTGTTTAACAGTCATTTAACTTGATAATTGAGTCCACCCATACAGTGAAAACCCACGTAAATAGCGAAAAATGGCGAATGGTTTCTTTCTTATTTTTTGTTGATCTTTCAAACAATTTTCATCAAACTTTTACATCCCTTGTAGCACACTGACAAATTGAATTTCAAAAACTCCAAAATAATTGTGGTCTGAAGTGGTTCTTCATGTTGCCTGTTTTACCCCTCCATGTCCTCGGCTAACTTTGATTGAATAAATACAGACTAATTCTGTTATATCAGTAACTACATCAATTCAAACTGTTTTTTAATGAAAGAACTTTAAAGTAATTGAAGATAGACTCTGTTACATCTAAACATGATGCTGTTTTTGGTCCATTCTAATTGAACGCTTTTTCTGCTCAACCAACTGGGTATGGCTGCTAGATTTTATCTCCAACTATTATTATTATTATCATTATTATTATAGTATGAGTCTTCCACCATCTTAATATTGTTGCTGATATTTATGACAACTTTCTGGTTGGCTACATTCTTCATTATTGCTATTATTTTAAAACTATTTTCCCCGCCATCTTAATGTTACCGATACAAATACTCTTAGATCGATATATTCGAGGAAAACAAGAGCAAAAAATGTGCGAAATTGAAATCAAAGAAGCAGCTTCCGTGAAGAATTGAACCCGCATTTCACACTATAGAAGCCACCCTCATCCCTCTTGTTATTTTGTTTTACTCGATTCTAACAGTCCACACGATCCCTGAAAGAAATATTTGCAGCATATGATTTTCACATAAACCTTTTGTGCATCGAATTGAAAAACGCGCTTCCGATGCGCCTCAAGCCTTTTAAACACAAGTCGACTGCTCTGATAATGAGAAGAAGCGAAAAGCGCGTAGGTGGAAGCGGTCTTAGCGGGAAAACAAAGATTTTACCATTATGAAGAATATTCTGGTTTCTGGAGATTTTCAATTACAAAATATTTAGTAAATCTGTCTATATTTCTGAGATGAACTATTATGTACATTATTTACATTATTCGGACTATTGTCCTCATCTTTGTCGCCATATTTATTACAACGTTTCAGCCGTTGTATGCCCCGGCCTTCTTCAGGTGGTTGGAATGTCGAACTGAACCCTTTATTTCGCTCACTGGGGTTGACTGTTTTAGTTCTACCTGCCATGTTTAATGGATGTCAGTTATCAGTTATCTCCTGTTAATTTTCCTCTGAAAGTTCTCCACTGCCTTAACCGGGTATTGAACTCACACTCTTTGGTTCCTGTCACTGGATCTAACTAACGCCTTTATCCACTGTCCTTGAGGACATCTGTGTATGAATTTCTGGGTATTATAAACCTAATATCTTCAGTATCATTTTTTACCGGTGCTCATATTTCAATTTTTGCTGTTATTATTACATGTTTTTACCAGAGCTCATATTGCATTTTTTGTTGTTATTATCGCTTTTCTCTGACACTCCTTATTACTGGTTCCCATATTGTATTCATTTCTATGCTTGGTCGGTTCTTTTTGTAGTCTAGCATATGTGCTGATTCCTTAAGTTTACGAATTTTCCTATGATGTTCTTTGTCTGTGATCTCAGCTTGATCCCACAGAGGGTGGTGATCTCCCTTTTCTCTCCATATGTGGTCAGCCACGCCTGATTTTTCCACTTCCCCTCGTGTTACAGCTTTCTGGTGTTCTTAAAGCCTCCCCTTTCCGCAGCTGCACGGGATATCGTACACACAGTCTTTAATCATGTTCTCCTCTATGGGGGTCTTATTCGGGAGAGATATCTGCGAAGTGTCGTCGAGCTGATGTCCTGATGTTATATGAACCGCAGATCCTTTGTATTTTCTCTGATAACCCCTTCGCATAAGGCAGGCAGACTGTTTTCTGAGTGTTGTTGTCCTCCTCTTGTACCCGCTGCTGCCATGTACCCAGGGTACTACTGATACTGACCAATTCTTTATCTAATGCCTAGGTCACCACTTATGACTTTTGCTCGGTGCTGTAAGCACCGGACGCTGTATGGATAGTGTGAGTTGAAATTGAATTTCACTGTCTAGGGAATGTCCGTTAACGGTATACGGATGTCTTGAACCCATGCTCTCTTCGAGATATTAGAATATATATCTCTTTCTCCATTGTGAACTGTATCGAAGGTCTTATTGTTCAAGGTCTTATTGAGTTCACATAGTCCACATGGTGTAGCCAGAGTATGAAGGTGTCGCTCACTGTGCCATGTTTATCTCCTGTTAATTTCCCTCTCCAAGTTCTCCATTACCTTAGCTGGGTATTGAACTCATATCTCTTTGGGTCCTGTCACTGGATCTAACCAACGCCTTTATCCACTGTAATGTCTTCAGTAAACATTTTTTTAACAGTGCTCATATTGCAATTTTTGCTGTTTATCACCTCAATTTTTACCAGAACTCATATTGCAATTTTTGTTGTTATTGTCGCTTTTCTCTGACACTCCTTATTACTGGTTCCCATATTGTATTCATTGTATACTTGGTCGGCTCAGGAGATATGAATATTAAAATGGCAGCTATAATGAAAAAACAGAAGAAATAATAATGAAATCATGTGGAAATAGCAGTGTCAAAGGGATTAATTGATTTGTACTTTACGGCTTATCAATCTTTTGTAGGTTATTTAAAGTCAGAAAATGTCCTAGGATTGCAAGAATTTTTTTAGATAGATTTACTGATACAAGTCCAATTATTTAATCCATAGCTGGGGGGAAGAGGTGAATTCATAACTTTTCCAATGATATTTGTGCGTAAGTGAATATAACGAATCCGACTGGAATTGGAACTCGGTCTTCCGATTTCTAATTCTAAGCCGTTATTCATTATTACACCAGCGGCACATCCAAAACTTACAGCACCTAGTATTCCCAAGTGGTCACATATCTAGGTATTGACCTGCCTGAACGTTGCGTCACTTCGGTGATCGTGCGAGAACCGGTGTTTCAACATTATATGGCCGTAAACCAAATGTTAAATGGTAAATGAATTCCATGGAGTCAAAGGTCATCAATTCCAACTCTGGGTTAAATAACCTTACAAAACGGAAACTGGTCAAACGTGGTGAGTACGGCTACACCCCTGGAGATATGGTCAATCAGGCAGGAATTCCTCCGACAGGTACGAGTAGGCTCTGGATTAGATTGGATTAGATTCCACCTTGTTCTATGGCGGAGCAATTCTTCGTCACATTAAGCTAAAGTTAGTAAAATTAGTCATTTTTATAAGTTTCCATTTTTTACTTTTAAATTAGCGTTTCATTTGTTTAACGTAATTTTCCCCCCGCCCCACGATTTATATTGGTTAAATTAGTTGGAAACAAGAAATTTAATTCCACTGCCATTAGAAAAATTGCCAAAAATCTTAGTGTTTTGTGTTTCGGTAGAAATAGTTTTGCGTTAAATTTTCTTTTATCGCGTTCAGTTTTGCCATCTCAATCTAATCTTTTCTGATGACATGAAGTGAAATGATTATATTGAATCAATTGATGGGATCTGCCACTGGAAAAGTCGGTTTACTATGTCAGGCTAGACATTTTTCTCACCAGAATCTATTTTGGGCAATTACGAGTCTACCCTTCACCTGTGCATTGAATACTGTTGCAAAATCTGGTCTGGTGCTTCTGCTATATGTCTAAAGATTCGTGACAAAATCCAAACAAAAACCTGCAAGATTATCGGTCCTGGTCTGGCATCTCGGCTTTCAGTCACTTCCCTACCGCCATAACGAAACATTCCCTGTTCTACTCGATCAACTAAACTCACCTGACTTTACAACAGATCATTTTGGGATAGCTGTAAAACGTTTTAATGGGGGAAAGTTTCTAGAATGAAAATCAGATTCAAGAGTTCGTCGAAAACTTTTTCACATCAAAACTTGTGGAAGTCTATCGAAGAGGTACTTGGTGTGTGGTAACGAGTCATTGCAAATAATGGTTAATATAGAAGTGAATAAAATATAATTGTACTTAATCTTTTGAAGAACGCATTTGATAAACAAAAACTAAAAGTTATTTATGACTCAATATGTTTGCCGAGAATGTATAAGAGCAAGTTGAAAGTTTAACAAAAGAAATGTTGCCCTAACCAATGTGGAAGGTCATGCTATGTATCCAGGGAAACAAGATATGTCCTAACTTCTTTCATAGTTGCCAAACAATTTATACTTATAGATATGTAGACCAGCTTGAAATAGTATATTTAAATCTCAAACAAGCAGCAGACAGTTTGCTGAACAAAAAGGTCACCATTTTGCTGTTTGATAACATCTGCTTTAATGTTGCAAAGATATTAGGAAGGCAGAATCAGCTGAAAATGGAAGATTTATTGTACTTTGTCTTTTCACTTAATCTTTACTCTGTTCGTTTGAAAATCGTTCACAGGCCTGAAAATGTTCATACTTTTTTATAGACGAGGCACGAACTTTTTTTTTATTGTTAAACTGTAGAGAAATCGATAAATGAACAGACATTGTAAGGAAAGCAACACTGAAACTTTTAGATAACTTTCTTATTTAGGTACCATTTTAGTTAAATTTTATGATATTTTTAACCACCATTAAGCCACACACACACACACACACACACACACACACACACACACATATATATATATATACAAATCGTCGAAGCAATATACATTAAAAAATTAAAGCCATCACTTAATAGAATCAACTGCGAATACTGTAGTAATGTTCTGAAATATCAATAAAAAGAACGGTTTTTCACGCTTTAGTGCGCATGACCTTGACATTAAAACACAAAAGAAAAAAATCCATGGTGGATAATTTTTTTCACGTTCTAATGAATGCTAAGCATGGCTGTCAACCGTTGCGTTTGAAAGCAAAAAGATAAATTACACTAATGGATATCAAAAAACAGTCTTGTATTACTCCTTGCACCCGTGAACAACACACAGTTTTATATTACTACGTACACCCCTGAAGATGATTTCGAAAGAAGATTGAAAGTACTTGTGAAATGGGAAATAAAAACAATTTTCATAGTTATAGACCATTTCTCACATCATTTAATTGCAATACACGGAAGGTTATCCGTGAGTATGAACGGTTTTATTAAAAATAAGCAGACATAATGTATGTAATTTATTTAATCAGACATTATATATATATATATATACTCCTGAAAAAATTATTTCGATTGAGCTCTCGGGGAGAAAAGTAAAGTTGTAAACAGGGACTATTACTGCTGCTGATGCAAGTCGAGTTCTCTCAGTCACTGGTGTGTTTATCTGAAAATAAATACGTCTAAATTCGCCTTCATCCCTGACGGATTAGAGGTTTTCGATCCCGGCTTGAGGCAATCGGATATCTGTGTGTGGATGACAATATATATATATATATATATATATATATATATATATATATATATATATATGTGTGTGTGTGTGTGTGTGTGTGTGTGTGTGTGTGTGTGTGTGTGTGTGTGTATATATAGGCAGCATATATTCATTCAGACATGTTTCAATGAATAATATAGATATATTATGTCTATTTATTTGTATACTGATGCTTTCCAGTTCTCTAATCAGTTTCTTGATGTTAAGATGATATTCATGAATATATCTATAAGTAAAACTATTTGATCCTGTTTTTTATGGGTCAACATTCACTGTTTTATATATACATATATATATATATATATATATATATATATATATATATATATATATATATATATATATATATATATGGACTGGTCTCTATAGCCTTGGATGGCAACTGGTCTAGGAGAAGGACAACTCTGCATTCAAAACCTGCGGAGGGTCGTTTGGGCACATTGTGGCACGTAGTGCACCAAATCTCTGTATTCGACCCTTCAAAAAAGTGTGGATGGTCCTGCATAAAACCTTCACCATTATAAACAAATCTCATGTGTTGGCGTCGGGCTGTCAGTTTCCTAGGAACTGATCTCCTTCACCCTCATACGTCGAATTCGACGGGAGAGTCGAGTGCATATATGTATATACGCTTTGATATATATATATATATATATATATATATATATATATATATATATATATATATATATATATGAAGAAAATATATACGGAAAAAAACAAACAAAAATCCTTATATACAATTATGCTGTTTTAATTTTAATATGTCAACGTCGGACGTTTCGGTCTAATAAACCATCTTCAGGACATATTCATAAATATAACATTATCAATACAACATGACAAAGTGGTCGTATATATTTTTCTTCATACTGTCGGATCTATATCCATATATATATTTATATATATATATATATATATATATATATATATATATATATATATATATCAAAGCGTTCTTTCGTACCGGAAATCTGATGCTTCCTGATTTGTGGGAATCTTCAGCTGCCACATTGAGGGTGGCACCTGTTTCTGTGCTGAATGTTTTTCAATCGACTGCGATTGGAGATATTTGAGATAATAACCGGAACACAGAGACCGGAATTTAAACGACAAAGTTCAGTTTCAAGAAATCGGAGATTGACACTTGATTCGCACAAACTCTTTCATTTCCTTAAAAACCGAAGCCGTTCATCTTTTTTTTTTCTTATTTCATTTTATTTTTACCCGGCCATTTCGTTTTTTTAAGCTCCTCCTATTTTTGAAAGGCTTGGCAAGTTCTCCTTGGAAACTTATAGCGTTACGCAAAAAGCAGATTTTGTTTGAGAGTTCTGAGTTATTGCTTAGTTGGTTGCTCCTAGAAAATCTAGAATGTCTTTAATCTGATATAATAGGAGGTACTTGATAGCTTATCTAAGGAAGAGAGATTTCTTCAATGGTTGTTATTTCACTCCTTTACATGACACAATTTCAACGGCTCGACATGATAATGAAATTTCGCACCTGTGAATTCTGCCATAAGTCTTTACAAGGCTGCCTTTGAACAATTAATCAGTTACCAACATATAAAACGTAATTTGCATTTATATACATATATATAATTAATACAAATATAAAATTTGTCACTTAGCTTATTGGTATTACCTTCATCATACCGACTCTAGATTTTCGTAGACGGCTCTTCCAGCAATCACTCCGTCCACTCGTCAGGGTATACCAGCAAATATATATATATATATATATATATATATATATATATATATATATATATATATATATATATATATGTCTCTGTGTGCAGGAAGGGGTATTAAACGCGACTGTCAAGGTTTTTTGAGAAACGTTTTATTATGTATCTGTCTATATTTCTGAGATGAGGTATTATGTACATTATTACAACGTTTCGGCCGTTGTACGCTCCGGCCTTCTTCAGGTGGTTGGAATGTCGAACTTAACCCTTTATTTCGCTTACTGGACACATGGCACAGTGGATAAAGGCGTTGGTTATATCCAGTGACAGAACCCAAAGAGTGTGAGTTCGATACCCGATTAAGGCAGTGGAGAACCTTCAGAGGGAAATTAACAGGAGACATGGCACGTGGAACTAGAACAGTCTACCCCAGTGAGCAAAATAAAGGGTTCAGTTCGACATTCCAACCACCTGAAGAAGGCCGGTGTGTACAACGGCCGAAACGTTGTAATAAATATGGCGACAAAGATGAGGACAATAGTCCGAATAATGTAAATAACGTTTTAATATGGTTTTCTTGTACGAGAATGTATCTACATTTTAAAAATATATGTCTACTTTTCAGCAAATTTTAAACTGCCTACAATACCATCTGCACACCATTTATTATAGTAGTATAACTGAAACCTTTGAAAATGACTAAGGGATTAGCCGAAAGCGCTCGAAATCAACAAACCTTTTGAAAATACCTCCATCCATTAATTTCAGAAAAGGGAAAACTTGTTTGCATTAAAAAAAATATCAGTTTTGTCTGAAAAACATGTATTAAAGAGGGAATGCTACCCAAATGCACAACGATTTATATATAAACAAATTAAGTAAATAATAAACAAACCAAGAATGCACACATAAACACAA